GTTATTGGTATCCCCGTGCTCACCAAGGCCATCAAGAGTCTCTTCATTCGCAGAAAGGCCATCAACAAGATCACCGATCAGAGAGTTGGCCTGACCCAGGAAATTCTCCAGTCCGTCCGCTTCGTCAAGTTCTTTGGCTGGGAAAGCTCGTTTCTTCAGCGCTTGCAGGAGTTCCGCGATCGTGAAGTATCAGCTATTCAGGTGTTGCTGGCTCTTCGTAATGCGATCATGGCCATTAGTATTTCGCTTCCGATCTTCGCGTCCATGCTTGCCTTCATCACCTACTCTCTGACCAACCATGGGCTGGCGCCGGCTAAGGTCTTCTCGTCTCTCGCCCTTTTCAACGGTCTTAGAATGCCTTTGAACATGCTTCCTTTGGTCATCGGTCAGGTGACGGACGCATGGTCCTCTATCTCCCGTATCCAGGACTTCTTGCTTGCTGAGGAACGGGATGATGAAGCTATCATCAAGCCCGATGCTCCCAACGCCATCGAAGTCCATGACGCCTCCTTCACCTGGGAAAGAACGCCAACTCAAGAGAACGAGCCTACAGTGGGCGGTGCCGGACCAAAACCGAAGCCTGAAAAGGGTACCAAGGCAAAGCCCAAGGATGTCGAGGCGGCTACTCCTCCTTCAGGTGACGACTCGAGCACCTTGGTTGAAGAACGGGAACCTTTTAAGCTTCGGGATCTCAACTTCACCATTGGCAGGAACGAGCTGGTTGCTGTTATCGGTACCGTCGGCAGTGGAAAGACTTCGTTGCTCTCTGCTTTGGCTGGTGACATGCGCAAGACCAACGGCGAGGTTATTCTTGGTGCTCACAGAGCCTTTTGCCCACAATACGCCTGGATTCAGAACGCGACTCTCAGGGACAACATTCTTTTTGGAAAGGACATGGACGACGAATGGTACCGCGATGTCATCAAGGCTTGCGCGTTGCAGCCGGATTTGGATATGCTTCCCAACAACGACATGACCGAGATTGGTGAAAGAGGTATTACTATCTCTGGTGGTCAAAAGCAGAGACTCAACATTGCCCGTGCGATTTACTTCGATGCTGACATCGTTCTCATGGATGACCCCCTGAGTGCCGTCGATGCTCACGTTGGTCGCCATATCTTCGATAATGCTATTCTTGGTTTGCTCAAGGACAAGGCCCGTATCTTGGCAACTCATCAGCTTTGGGTTCTCAACCGCTGCGACCGCATCATTTGGATGGATGGTGGTCGTATTCAGGCTGTGGATACTTTCGACAACCTTATGAGGGATTCCGAGGAGTTCCGCCAAATGCTAGAATCGACCGCCCAAGAGGAAAAGAAGGAAGAAGAAGAAGCCCCCGTCGTTGCTGCCGATGAAGAAGCACCCAAGAAGAAAAAGAAGGGCAAGAGTCTCATGCAGGCTGAGGAGCGTGCTGTGGCTAGCGTGCCATGGTCGGTTTACACGTCCTACGTGAAGGCTTCTGGTTCTTTCCTCAACGCACCCCTTGTTCTCGTGCTCTTGGTTATCGCACAGGGATCCAACATCATGACCAGTTTGTGGCTGTCGTGGTGGACTTCTGACAAGTTCGGTCTCAGTCTGGGGCAGTACATCGGTGTCTATGCTGGTCTCGGCGCGGCACAGGCTCTCCTAATGTTCGCATTCATGGTATCCCTATCGATTTTCGGTACTACTGCGTCCAAAAACATGTTGAGGCAGGCCACCTTCCGCGTGTTGCGTGCCCCCATGTCTTTCTTCGACACTACACCTCTTGGCCGCATTACCAACCGTTTCAGTCGCGATGTGGACGTCATGGACAATAACCTTACGGATGCTATGCGCATGTACTTCTTCAGCATTGGAGGTATTATCTCGACTTTTGCTCTGATCATCGCATACTTCTACTACTTTGCCATCGCGCTCGTACCCCTCTTCACCCTCTTCCTCTTTGCTACTGGCTACTATCGCTCATCGGCTCGCGAGGTCAAACGCTTTGAGGCCGTCCTTCGTTCTTCGGTGTTTGCCAAGTTCAACGAAGGATTGTCTGGTGTTGCCTCCATCAGGGCGTATGGCCTCCAGAACCGCTTTGTGGTGGACATGAGGAAGGCTATCGACAACATGGACTCGGCGTACTTCCTGACTTATTCGAATCAGAGATGGCTATCGACCAGACTGGACATGATCGGTAACGCCTTGGTCTTCACCACGGGCATCCTCGTCGTCACCTCCCGTTTCTCAGTTAACCCCTCGATTGCTGGTTTGGTGTTGTCCTATATCTTGGCTATAGTGCAGATGATTCAGTTCACTGTCCGTCAGTTGGCCGAAGTCGAAAACGGCATGAACGCCGTCGAGCGTCTCTTGTACTACGGCACCCAGCTTGAGGAGGAAGCCCCATCCAAAACCATCGATGTGCGCCCCAGCTGGCCCGAGAAGGGTGAGATCATCTTCGACAACGTCGAGATGCGTTACCGTGCCGGTCTTCCCCTCGTCTTGCAGGGTCTCAACGTGCACATCGAGGGCGGCGAGCGTATTGGTATCGTCGGTCGTACCGGTGCAGGAAAGAGTTCTATTATGAGTACGCTCTTCCGTCTGGTTGAGATTTCCGGCGGTCACATCACCATCGACGGCATCGACATCTCCACTATTGGACTTCAAGACCTCCGTTCCCGCCTCGCCATCATTCCTCAAGACCCGACCCTCTTCCGCGGAACTGTGCGCAGCAACCTCGATCCCTTCGGTGAGCATACCGATGCGGAGCTCTGGTCCGCCCTGCGCCAAGCCGATCTCGTCCAGGACGAGGCGACCACCACCACAACCGCCACCCCCAGCGCCAGCGGCAACGCCCTGGTCGTAGCCGACGCCCCCGCTGCCACCAACGGCAACTCCAACAACCGCATCAACCTCGACTCAGTCGTCGAAGAAGACGGCCTCAACTTCTCCCTCGGTCAGCGCCAGCTCATGGCCCTCGCCCGCGCTCTCGTGCGCGGCTCCCAGATCATCGTCTGCGACGAGGCTACATCGTCTGTCGACATGGAGACGGACGACAAGATCCAGCGCACCATGGCCAGCGCGTTCCGCGGCAAGACACTGTTGTGCATTGCCCATCGTTTGAGGACTATTATCAACTACGACCGCATTTGCGTCATGGACAAGGGCCGCATTGCGGAGATCGGTACCCCCATGCAGCTGTTTGAGATGGAAGGCGGCATCTTTAGGGGAATGTGTGAGAGGAGCGGGATTAGAAGTGAGGATATCAGGTTGGCGAGGGAGGTTGTTGATAATGATAGGCTTGCGTAAGGGCTGGCTGCTTGTAACCTACTGGATAGGGGTATATGGAAGGGAAAGAGTGGGTATGGGATGAAAAGAGATGATGAGTATGATGAACGAGATCGATGTTGACACTGATTCAGCATTCATGGCGGCCTATGATACCAAACTCGAAGAGAAGACGGGGACGGAGACGGATGGAATGGAGGAAAGTAAGGCAAAGCGAAACCGAAAGAAAATACCCTACATAAGAAAGGAAAGAACATACTTAGTGTAAACACGTAATTAATCAACTTGTAGAAAGAGGAGGTCCAGGTAATAGATCTCGAGATGTTCATAACACCATGTCATCACATGTTTCGCCTGCATGCTCTCAAGGATCCGTAAACATGACTTTGGCTTATATATAAGTTATACCACTGCACATTATCACTTCCATTATTTAGTTTCCAAATCACATATGTACCTATCTATTGAATGGCTTATATAGCACAGTCAAATTCCCAACTTACCCTCTTCACGTCGGTACCTCTCTCCTCACTCACATCACACAGCCAACCAAGCCATCGTAACACAATGAAGACACTTTCCCCAATCCTCAAGTCTCACAGATTCAAGCTGTGACACTCCAACGCCCAATCTTTACAAGTTCAGTTGGCTGGTATGCGCTCTTGCAGTGGTATCGTCATCCATGTACCACCTACCACCTCCCTCCGACTCTACCTACCTATCTATCCGGCAACAATTTACAGCCAGAGACAGGGAGACAGGGAGACAGGCAAGCAGGCCCCGACCCACAGCTAATGTACCGGCATATCGCCTGCTGCCTTGTATATAGGTAAGTAGTGTAAGTATGAAAATTGCAGCAGCTAAAGACCCTGGCAGACGCCTGACTTCAGATATAAATGAACCGGAGACGGAGAGCTGCATGATCTCGCAGTTGTCTTATAGTATCTTGCAGTGTTTGTGTGTATGTGTGTGCGTGTGTGTGTGGCAGGTGATGAGACACTTAAGTTGTTGAAGACACATGGATACCTAACCTGGGACGTATTCGCGGCATGACGTGTGGTAAGTAGGATTGAGAAGATGGAGAAGGAGGCAAAGGGGAAAAAAAAAGAGAGAGGCGGAGAGAACGGTGGTGGCTTAAGTGTAGAACCATCGATCAGTCTGTCTGTCAACAACGATGATTAAGAGGACAAGTGCTCCAGGTGCTCAGGATCAAGAAGGAATCCCAAGATATGCACGTAATTTCCGCTATGCCTATGCCTATGCCTTTGCCACTGCAGCGCTGCTGCAGGCAATGCACGACGATTTGACAGACAGGAACCCGGGGAAGCCAAAGACACAGACACGTTAAACGGTATCATATGGTCAAACAGACAGCGTCAGTCTCAATGGATAAGAATGAACAAAAGGTGGTATTGAACTATACGTATGTACTTTAAAACCGAAGTGGATAAAAACGAGGTATGGTAAGTAATGGTGATGGCGATGATGATGATAATGATGATGATTGGTATTTTTCAACCCCCAAAACTGGAACAAGACCCGAACGAACCGCTCAACTCCCTTGATCTTTGAATGCCTCCCCATATGTTGAAGGAAATTTTGGCCGGATTAGGTGTATAGCTTCTGGCACCGCAGGATATCGGGGTTCGCGGGCGTTTTGAGTTTTGACCTGATGTTCCCGTCCCAGAATTACTGCAACTTGATTGCCTCTCGTAGTCCCTTCTGGTTGTCCCAACTCCTCAACCAACTTAGTACCTCCCACTGTGCCTAGGATCATGATGCCCCCCGTGGTACCCCGGGGCGTTATACCCTCCTGGAGGAGGGAAAGCCTGCGGGTTATCCCCCAAAAGGTCGTCCAAAAACGCGCTTGGCGCACGCCCGCTCTCTGGCCTGTTCAACTGGTTGACCGAGCTGCTGCTAAACGCCCTGGAGGGTGGTGTCCTCGTCGCCATTCCCATAACCGGTCCAACATTCGGCGACTCAGGCGGCGTCTGTCCCATCATGCTACCACCACTCGGCTGTCTCGACATCGGACGGAGGTTCGACATGCTGATCGAGTTGCCGTGGCTGTGGCCCATAGGTGCAGCGGCCGAAGAAGCGTAGAATCCGGAGGGGAGGAAGGTCGAGTGGCGGTTGTTGGCTATGGTACTGTTGCGATCACCTGCCTGCGCAGTCGGCGAGAAAAATAGGGTGCTCTGGCTGGGGGTGCCTGCAGAGGGTGCCGGGCCGCGCGACTTGCGGTTTCCGGCGAGACCGGTGTTGCTGCCGGCGACGAGTGACGGGTTCGAGTTGAGGTCCGAGTACTTGTAGAACTTGGGCGGAGGCGGGAAGGCCTTATCGCTGCCGATGCACTGGGCCATGGCGGCGCGCTCGACGGAACGGTGGAGGAGACAGGCGATGACGGTGCGCCAGATGACAACACCCAGGCCGAAGGCACCAAGGATGGCACCGACACAGATAAAGACGGTGCCATCAGGCAGCGACGAGTGGTTCATGAAGGGCGCATTTTGCGTGGGAGGAACGGTCGGCGCGGGATATTCTGGGATGCCAATTTTGGTGAGAGTTGGGAGACCAGTTAAAGGTGCGGTTGGACCCGTCTCTGCTTCTGTGTTGCCGATTGTCAAGGGGGGTATGCTTTCAGTGCCGGTCGAAGTAGGAGAGGTTTCGGATGCCGTAGGAGTAATTACTACTCTCGATGTGCTGCTGGTGGTCGTCGCCTTGGCCGAGCTAGAGGAGACGGATGTCGATGATGATGAACTTGATTCGTCGTCATTATTTTGTTGCGCCAATACACCCGAGGCGAAGAGGGCTGATAGAAGCAAGAAGCGCTTCAGCGACAGTGGTGGCGACAGCATGGTCGCTATGGGTATGTCCCGTCGGCTCGGGGACGACTAAAGAAGGGGTTTGACGAAGAGAACCGAAAAGAAGAGGGAATCGGTCCCTATATCCACCAAAGTATCGCGAATCGAACTCTTGATGGAGAGTAAGCTAGATCGACGACGGGCTGCAGCCACGATCCGGAATTTTCGATGTGAGGGTGGTGAGTGGCCGAAGACCGGGAACTGGTGGTTACTCAAGGACGTCGTGCCGTGGTGAATCAGAGAAGAAAAAACGAGAGTAAGATCAGGCGCTTGCTGAGAGCATCAGAGTCTAGATGAAATCCCCAATGTGAACGAGAGTTTGCAAACTTGGCCAAATCAGGTCATGGTCGTCTTTGGAGGGAGATTGACCAAGAGATGCATGGATGGAGTCGACGGAGTCTTTGGAGCGAAAGGTTGAATGAGTGCCAGGGAAAAGGGGAGGGAAGAACCTGGAAGGCGCCCATGGGGCGGGCATGGACCGCAAAAAAAGGTACCAAGGGCCAACAAGGGGGGAAGTGACGGCCCTTCTCGCCCTCGTGTTGGTCCCCGTTTTCTCCATTCCTTCCGCGCTGCTCCCCCAGACCAACCCAACCAGAAGGAACCACTCACAACCACTGCAGCGGAGACGGCGCTCTCAGCCAGGGCAGTTGTGATTTTGGGAAACATTTGCGCCGCGAACGCCCCCAACTCAGGGCAACGTAACGTCGACTCTCTCAGCCCTCTCACTTAGCTACTCAGCTGCAGGTAATCCGTCGTGGAAAGAAAACGGCTGGGATTTTGGTACCTGCGCGGACTGTATGGGACATGATTCGACACATGGATAACATGTCTGGCATGACAGCCTTCGTTCAGGGCGGATGAGAGCCACGCAATATCAATAATCCATCCATAAAAGCCAATGCCAACACTCGCTGGCTGCAGCAACGGCCCTTGCAGCACGTCATTCTAGCTAGTAGAACTAGACTTAGCGCTCTGCAAGAAGGGTTTTGGTGGATGGAGAACGACAAGACGCCATTTCAGCCCTTTTGAAGTTCCTGAGTGCCTCCATCGATGAGACTTTGGTTTTGCCCTCCGAAAGGCGGACCTGAGTTCCCCCTCATCTGAACAAAATCGGAAAGCCTGTGTTCCCTGAAAATGATTTCCAGAGGTTCAATGTTTCTCATGCACAGCTGCACGGTTGACGGCATGACGTCCTGCCCTTCCTTTCTTGGGTCGCTGGAAATAACTTGCAGCAGTCCGTGTGCTTGGTCGCTATCTGCACAGTGCTCATCTGTCCCTAGCGGCTGGCCTCAAAGCCTGAAGCCAAATGTTTTAGCGCCCTGTCTCTTTGCCGTGCCCCGGAAGAGCATGCCGGAGCATCGCACTTGCACAGTGACTTCCCGCTATCCAGCCCGCCATCTGGGACCAGCTGCTGAAGTGGCCTGTGCTTTTCCCATTTTGCGGTGTTCAGGTTCAGTTGCCACTTGCCGGTAGCTCGCTCCAAGGTGCTTGGCGAACCATCGACCACTGCAGTTTGTATGGTTGTTCTCTCTCACTGGTGTGGTGTCTCCAAATTTTTATTCGAAACTATCCATATCGCCTTCACCACCAAATTCAGTATCACCACGTTTTGCGGCCGCCCGATTTCTTGACGAACCGCCGCCGAAACCATCTTGACTGTCAAATCTTGCACAACAATAACAACGGTCGACACCCTAACTTTTTACAACAACAGACCTTTTCCACTTCAATCGATCATTTGAGATCTCGTCAAGATGGGTGTCGCTAAACGGACAAGAAAATTCGCTACGGCACGTGACCTTCCTATATCTATCCCCCTTCTCATCTCACTTTTCATATCTCATCACGACCATGACCTCAGCTCCGCTTGGGTAGTGGGTGATGTGTGTGTTGATGAAGAGCATGATGACAAGATATCAGATACACGTTATCATCATCAAAATATATACATAAACATACTAACACAACTCAACAGGTCAAGCGCATGATCGGCAAGAACGATGAGCGCCGCAAGACCGAAGTGCAGAAGAAGCAAGAGCTCGAGCTGCAAAAGAAGAAGGAGGCCGCGGTGCGGGACATCCCTCAGATGCCATCGTCCATGTTCTTCCAGCACAACGAGGCGCTCGTGCCTCCCTATAACGTGCTGGTTGACACCAACTTTTTGTCCAGGACCGTCGGCGCCAAGCTGCCCCTGATGGAGACGGCCATGGACTGCCTCTTCGCCTCGGTCAACATCATCATCACGTCGTGCGTCATGGCCGAGTTGGAGAAGCTCGGCCCTAAGTATCGTGTGGCTTTGATGATTGCCCGTGACGAGCGGTGGACTCGTCTCACCTGTGATCACAAGGGAACGTATGCCGATGACTGCATTGTTGAGCGCATTCAGAAGCATAGGATATATATCGTTGCTAGTATGTCTTCTTCCCGCCTTCCAGTTGTTCAGGTTATCAAACCTATGATGAGGTATGGATGCTAACATGGACAAAACAGCCAACGATAGAGACCTGAAGAGGAGAATCCGCAAGGTTCCCGGTGTACCCATCATGTCCTGCGGCAAGGGCAAGTACGCCATCGAGAGACTCCCTGGTGCTCCTACTTCGTAAAGTGGTGGTTTTCCGAGCAAGGGGTGAGGGTGAGCATCAAATTGCGCCGCCGCCGCCGCCGAAGACTTTTTGCCTGTCAACGGTTGAACTACGAGGGCGCGGAGCGGTTACGCATGAATTGTCCGGTGAGAGGTTGGCTGCCATGATAATCCCAAGGCAGCGATGGCCGCGAATGCCATTGTCAAGAGAGAGAAAGATAGAGAGATGATCCTCTCCTGCTACATACAATCGCTCGCTGGCCGTGGGTCATTCATTACAGCAGACTGGATGGCCGGAAGGGTGCCCGGCTACCTCAAGGGCAGCGATTGGCTTGATCGATAGACGACAGTCGAACGAACGTGTTCATAAAACCGTTCACCGACAGTTTTAGGAGAACAGAGGGCCTGAGAGGGGGGTGGAAAGGAGATATGGGAAGGGGGAGGGAAGGGAAGGGAAGGGAAGGAAACAAAGAAGGAAAAAGGGTCACCAGCAAAAAGGATACCATGCTGCATTGCATCTGGGTTATAGAGGTTTCACACATATAGGGTTTTCATGTCGCTCGGCGTTAATAATGAGTTGATTTTGTGACAAAGTATCAAAGTCTCGTCTTCTCTACTTGCGTAGTCTATGTTTCTGACGTCCGAACATGAGCGTTTCATATCAAGAACAGCGAGACCGGCCCCATTGGCGTTTTCGATAACTTCCCCCTCCCAACTTTCGCTTTCTACATTTACGCACCTGGTATACCTGGTAGAACCAGACACCAAACAGAGGGCAAGAACATAAGCGTGTCGCTGCAATGATAGAGGTGAGATTCGAGTTCTACCATCTTGAATATTGAATAGTGTGTGGTGGGGTAGATAGATGGTTTGCGCCATCTAACAGTCAAATACGTAAGAGTATGATGACCGCAAGGGCATATGCAGACCCGTCCGTATACCATCGCCGTAGTAACTTTAAAGCCGTCGCAGCGGGCAGTTCCCTTCCGTCACCGTTGATCGGTTCATGGACGCTGAACCTGACGATGTCTCTCTCCCCCATGCGCGCCATGCCGCTTACACAATGCGATGATAACACAACACCCGTTGCCATGTCTTTTTGCTGCACGTATGTGTTTGGTGACAACAAGACACTCCAAGCCGAAGAAACCTTCTTCAATTGACAAAAAAATGATATCACGAACCCAATAATGATCAAGTCCCCGATGCCGACTCCAGCTTTTGAGAACTCTCCTTTTGCTTTTGTTTCACTCCCCAAGAAAAAATGATTTGATAAAACTGTAAAGAAGATGGGTATTTTTGGATTCCATTTGCCCCCCTTTTTTGCTCTGCCTGCTTCCCTCCCACCTTTTTTTTACCGACAATCGATTGCCTGGAGGTGGATAGATGATTGCTACGCGAGCCACTCCTCATCAGCCCGCTTGTTCCCCCGCATCACCAGTCCCTCATCATCAGAATCGGAGTCCTCCTCCTCCTCGCTCTCGAAATCGACTCCACCATTTACGATATGCCCATTCATCCCATTGTGCCCGTTTTGATGTCCGTTCTGGTGCTGGTAATGCCCTTCCTCCTCGTGATGATGATTATTATGATTATTGTCGATATTATTGCCGCCGCCTCCGTCGTCCTCCTCGATCATCCATGTCAGGCCGTTGGCTTGCTCTTCTAGCGGGAACACCTCGCGCGCGTACTCCTCCAGTCCTCTTGGGCCTTCCCACAGCTCCAGAGCCGCCCGCGGGCAGCTTCTATCCAGATCTATATCGCCGAAGTATGGGGGCTGCTTCTCAGGATCTTCGTTGTGTAGGTTGAAGAGCTCTTCTAGAGCCTCCAGTTGGATTCGATAGCCTTCCGGAATCTTTACCTTGACCTCGATCGGTCCACGGACGTAACGTACCGGGCGGCTGACGCCCCGGGAGAAGACCTCGCACGCTTCTAGTGGGGTGAGCATCTCGTATGCTAGGGCAATGCGCTTGCCACCTCCCCACTTCTTGACACCGTCTTTGAATATCTGCAGGATAGCCGGACCGACGTCGTGCTCGGCATCAAGCCATGGGAGCTTGGCATTTGGATGGAAGGGCGCTTGCCAGATCCACGATCCGTCGGGCTGCATCTCGGTGCAGAAAAGGGGGTATGGCAGCGATGTGAAGTTGTTGTTGTAAATGCCCGTGTAGACAAAGGTCGCGGGAATACCGATTTCCTTCACATAGTCCTCCACGCGGTGCTTCGACGCCCAGAGCGGCAGTGATGGCCAGTCCTTGTTGTAGACATGGTGGTCGGGCATCGAGGAGTAAACGTAGTGTTGAACCCCGGCCTTCTTAGCCGCGTCTGCGAGGGCCATGCCGATCTTCTCCTCGTCGCCGTAAAAGGTGGTGTTGATGAAGGCGAGTTGGGCGCCTCTAAAGAGTTCGGAGATGAGGGCGTGGTTCACGCCGATGCCGGAGATGGGACCGTTTTTAGTGACGTCGACACATTGTCCCTTTTCACTTTCCGCAGGGGTCTCTTTGGTGTAGAGTTCGCCCTGCAGAACGGTAACGTTGGGATTCGTCGACACTTCGGTAGCCACAACTCCCTCGAGATTCCTCATTTGGGCTCGTACGTGGAAGCCAACGGCGGTGGCTACTCTGATGAAAGAAGCAGCCTGTCGGCCGGCGGCGTTGATGACCGCAATCGTCTTATCGGGGGTCGGCATGGGGCGTTTGGCAGGACGCCAAGTCAGAGAGTTATTCCGAGACATGAGAGGGGACATCTCTGAATAGGAGGAGCGAGAGTGTTTGTGCCGCCTCTCTTCATTGTGCATGCTGGTGTTGGGGATTTTGATGTCCCTCGGTGCTGGCCTCAGTGGCAGCTCTGATAGAATCTCGGCCGGCATGGTGGGCTAGTGCGATAGCCGGGTGTCACCGTCCTCCCAAAGATTTCCCTGGCTGTCTCTCTCTTTTTCTACGAAAGAAAGGGCCCGGCTAGAGATGCTGTGTCTCCCCAGAAAACAGGAGTCCTTTTCGATCAGGTGTTGGCGCAAAAACACTCTTGCCGGTTGCTTAATGCGCTAAAGGGAATTTCCTGTTGCGACCACCGCTGTAGGTTCCCGTTGCGACCCTTCTCAGAAGCGGCAGGGAGGGTGATGATAATGGTGCCGTAAAAAAAAAGTCGAGCTAAGCACGAGATCGGGCGATCGTGGTTCTGGAAGCGCAAGGGCGGCGCAGGCGATACCGGTGAGAAAATTGCGACCGAGGACAGGAAAATGCCCAGAAAAGGGCAGGGCAGCGGATTCGATTGGGTTGCTCTGGTCGGCTGCGTTGGTGTCCTGCTGATGTGCTTGCTGGCGGAACGGTGGCCCCGTGTACCGCGGATGGAATGGCGGTATCGTACTGAGTCGATGGCGTAGGTATTTTCCTTCTTTCTTGACCCGTCGTTTTATCTATCAGCGGGGTCCAAATGTGTTAGAGCTGTACTGTTCTGCGCGCTGCACTGAGTGCTGGATGTCACTGCGGGGCAATTGGAGATAGGTCGGGTGGGTGAGAAACCGCAGGCGGGCAGGACGGGAACTGGAAAGGGCGACAGGGTAGGGGAGGCAAGAGCTCGCTGTTGAGAGCCAACTGGAAGCAGGAAGGAAGCAAGATAATGCAAGTACCTTTTTTGTATGTACAGGTCTGTACCTGTGATAATGTCTGAAAACGATGCCGTCTGCAGTGCGTTGCCAAGTCAGGGGCGGGACTTTGAAGATCAATCGACAAGAAGATGTGGGCGTCTTGAGGTTGAGATCTTGCAGATATGGACAAGCCGATAAGATAGGGAACTGAGGGAAGACCGACTAACACTCAGCAAACTGGAGGACTCTCTGAACTCGAAAGCAGCCAGCAGCAGGATGGTGACAGCAATGGGCAAGAGGGATTGAAATCAAAACAAGAGCGAAAGAAGCGCGAGCGTATGGGACGGAGTGCGGTTTAATAGCAAGGAGGTCCCCTGGCTGTTACTGAAGATGAGAACGAAGGGCTCGACAACCACCAAACAAAGGGAAGCAAATAGAAAACGATTCTGGCCAATCGCATTGCGAGCAGCTATCCACTGGGTGAACCATCCAAGTAGCCCGCGCAATGGTCCGGGCATGAAAGAGAAGTGGAAGGTCTGGGTGACAGTGGTCCCGCTCGCTCCTTCCCTTCACTTCTCAGCGGACCACCAGGCGGAGGACAGTGACAAGAATTTGCGATTTTACGGGGTTGATGGAGCAGGAAATGCAGTCCACCGCGAGTTCCACACCGCGGTCCCCGTCCCGACACCGGGTCCCACTCTGGACCATGGCCCTGCTCTCCTCGTCGACGACCGACACGATCCCCATGTTCCTTTTCGAGGGCGACAAGCAATCAAGCAAGCGAGCCCAGGCACGCTGTGAAATTTAGAATCTTCATGGCGTTCATGGCAACGGTTATCCGTCCAATTGGCATTCGGACAGCATATCGTGGGGAAGCGAAGGAGTGGCGGCGGAAGCAAGGCCCAGGACCCAGACGGGAATCCTTCATTTAGACGCGGAAGTTCTCCAGACAGCGGGATCATATGTTCCCCAGTTTTGAGGTTGTCCACTATCGCCCTATGTACCCCAGGTAATTGGATACCAGTGCCTGAAGTAACAGTCCCGGTCTGACCAGGTCTTGGTATCTAGATAAAGGTGCAGCTAAGGCCACGAGGTCTATGAATATCAGGTTACGGCGATTCGTGACTTGGATAGATGCTCTGCAAAAGGCTAAAGCATGGCGGCTGAGGGGGTGCCGTCCCAGAGTAAAACCCGTCTTGTTGGCGGGAGAGACAGTGCAGTGTTGTCTGTCTGTCTGTGCAATGCGAGGTCTACTGTGTCCTTGAGACGAGGCGGGGAATGATAAGCAATAGATAACCACCCGATATCACGATGCCTTCAGTGTCGAGGATGTCTGTACTTGTACGACCGCAGCGGGCATATGGGACGAAGAAATTGGATCGTGGTGGTTGCACGGCTTTCTAATCTCACAGACTCACAGAGCGGTCAATCACCCGTCAAGGTTCATCATGCTTCAGCCTGATCTCTATCGCCGCTCTGCCTTTGCCTCTATCTCTCTTGTCTCTGATAATGATTGTGCAAATCCCATACCTGCCGCAAACAGATGCGGATGATGACATGACGCCCCGGATTGCCATCAGCTTATCCCCGGCGGACGACACGCCAAATATACATTTGTACAGTATGGAACCCAAACAGGCAAGAGGTGTGGTGTGTCGTCGCCTTCTCGATGAATCAGATAAACACGATAAGCTAGACGTTTTGCTCGGCATGAGCCGCCCAGTGATAACAAAAATTCATGGTAGCATTGGCAGGCATGGCAGGTAAGGGTTTAAATTGTCGATCAACAAGTGTTTATCAGCACAGCACTTCGTTGTTTTCTTGGGCCTGGTGGCCTGCACAGGCCTAGACTCCTTACAGGTCATGTGCCTGTCTTTGATCCTGGCCTCAGCTTTTTGACCTTGCCAGTTTGTTGTCTCCCAGTGTCAGGTGGTTTCCTGCCCTCGTTTTGTTAGACGTTGTTTCCTTCTTTTAAATCACCTAAAAACCAAAGCATCGAATCCTTTTGCTCTGTCCCCCATGCCCGTAGCGCAAAGAGGCTAAAAGACTGGCGCCGAAAAGCTTTCCGATGACGTTTTAACGGACGCTGTGTGGACGACAGGCGGCTCCGGCCTTTCTCATGCAGCTAACGGGTTGCTCTTACCTTATACCTTCCCCATCCAGTCCCCGAATTCCATTCTCTTAGTAAACTTTCTTGGCAACTCCCACGCTCTTGCCGCTCAGCTGCGGAAGACGTCTGGCGAGAACATTCGGTCAAGCTTTCAGCGCTCATCGAATCCCGAAACTCGCAATTTATATGAAGCTCCGACTCTTTGGCGATATCTTGGTTGCGCATAGCATGTCATTGCATGGCATGGAGTCCATCTCGATACGACCTATCACCTCTCTGGAACCTTCTCAGCAGTTGATGAACGTGATCAAGGGGTGTTGAATGTTGGCCGTCTGGGTCTGTTTAACACACCGATACCGCTATTCTCGGAGGGTCGTCGTCGGAGGCTCGAGTTGTCGTCGTTCAGCTTGTACCGGTGCCTGCAACAGTGCTTATTGCTTGGCAGTGACCTCCTCGTCCTTCCTGACAGGCAGTAGGTACACCTGACAGGCCCAAAGAAAAAAGTCGGATCCTTCAAAAAAAAGCTGGCAGAAAGGACGCTGGATGCCCGGTTGCGCTCCAAGCGGGCGGCGGATCCCCTTTTCAATTACGTACAAACCGGCTCACTAACACCCGTTTGGGGCAGTCTCATGGCACTTGAGTCACCCTCCCACAGCGAGCCATGTCGTCCACCACCCGTCGACGTTGGCAATAATGGATCGGCATTGGCTCCCGACTTCGCTGCCTCGTTCCTCGCGCGAACAAGATTTCCGCGGATGTCGCCTATGCAAGGAACCAAAGTTCTTGGCTGACCTATTTTTTTGTGTCCAGAGAAGCTGTCAAGAGCCGTGCGCTCTGATGCTGTTTGGTTCGCTGAAACCACACAACAGCAACTTCTTGACACTATCGGGAGTCTTGCCGACCGATAGCAACACTGGCACGCGAAGCGGCGAAGCCCGTATTCCGTTAAACGCTCCCGGGGGCCGAGGGCCCTCTTTCAGCGCACCGCAGTGCCCTACGAGCCTACTTGACGGGTCCCGTTTTCTTCCCCGCAATATTCTATCCCACTGGCGGGTCAAAGGGCGGGGAATCAAAGAAAGGAGTTTCTTCTAATTTGTCGTGGCGGTCAAGCAAAAAAAAGAGACAAGTTTACAAGCGGCGGCGGAACGACGCCGGCGCCAAAAACCCATCCCGCTGGCGTTGTTCCGTTTCACACCACTAATGCGGCCCCGAAAACACGGAAACATGGCGACATTGGGACTGAACCTCAAACCCCACTGCCGGGTTCCACTGCCTGCACTTCTAGAACGCATAAATCCGGCCTAGCTGTTCGCTCGAGCAGTGTCACGAGGCCCATTTGAAAATTTGGTTGTGATGTGAAAATTTTCTCGCACGGGGGGCAGTTCTGTTGCAAATGCAAGGCGGCCTTGTGGCCTTGTGGGCTAGCGGTCTGGCAGTCCATACGGAGTCCCGCCACGCGCAGAGGTGAGTTCGGTGTCCCGGCCAGCAGAAAGGAGAGAAGATTTACCCGTGACCCGACCTGACCCCTGGAAGCGCCGGGCCGGGGATGGTGGAGATGGTCCCCACGGGACCCGTCTGCATCCACTTTCATCCACTTCGGATGAGGGGTCGAAAACTCCAAAAAGTAACCTCACGATGTCGACTTTTAAAACAACAATTACGAGAAACCGATGATTTGAAGAGAATGGCGTTGCCCGACGGCGGGGAATATGGAGATGGGTATAGGTTTCCGGCGAACACGTTGGTCAGCCCTGTTGGCCGGTACCGCAACCCAGGAAACTCGATATATCGCCCGCCGCCCATATAGTCATAAAACGATTCGGAGGTAATACTATATCAGTAAGACTGAAACTTTTACCACGGAGCAATTACCTTGCGCATGGGTAAAGAGCAACTCTTGGTCTCGAGGATATTTCATGTGCCGTCCATGACGTCTCCTGAACAAGATGAGATGAACTACCGCGGAGTCCTGGCGTCTCGAGTCCATCGTCCAACCATGGACTTGGTTACAAGTTTTCATCACCTTGACCGTATATCGAGATAGCAGCCAGTGCCGAACGGCAACTTTGCCGAAATTGACTGTATCGGAGCACAGAAATGTCAAGTATCTCTAAACTTCAGACTATAATATAGTCATGGGGTCGAGTTCATCCTTTCCGCCGTACCAACAAATTGTGAAGTCATATATACAGAAACCCAAAATCCCCAACAGAGCGTAGTTCACACCTCCATAACTCTTGTCCAGCAACGGGGCTCCACATCAAAGCATCACAGCAAGTGAGCTTCTGCGAGCAACAGAAATATGCTTTTCACCCACTAAATGGATCATTCCAAACTGTCACCTCTTTCTTCCACTTTACATCATCTTCCTCTTCTCGCAGCATCTTTTTCTCAGAAGCCCTGCTGGGGGTGGCGGATACAACAACAGAACAGACTTTAACCGCGTTATCCCACAAAATATCCCAAATCAGCCACAGCCACCTGAGCTTTGGAATCAGGACGGACGGACGAATCGTCACTTGTGAAACCATCCATTCCACATCCATCCCATATCCCATTATCCCGTGTCCTCTCTCATCGTCTTGTCATCTCGTCATCTCACTCACTGTTTCGTTGTCTCACAGTTTCGCAGTCTCGTGGCGTAGTGGCGTGATGACGGGCGGGTTTCTCGGCAGAAGGACAAATGAGGAAAATGACGAAATGAGGAAACGAGAAAACGAGAGGACGAGGAATGGCCACCAACGGTGATCATGTTAGAATGCTCGAGTGTCGGGCTATACTACCCACGTATACCACCGTCATGTCGGCACACACTATAGACTCCCGTTCGTTCAGTGATTGATGGATGAGGCTGCACATTGAAGTAAGTTGTGAAGTAGGATGGAAAGAAACAAATGTGCCGAGGACAACTGAGCCATGACGTTTGCGCGACATTACTTCAGATCGGATATCTTGTACTTTCAAGAGTCGTTGATATAGAATCTGGAATCTGAAAAGAGACCAAGAGGTGCTGGGATCCGATGGCAGGGAAGTAGAGAGTGTCTTGTCTGTGGTATAATTATTGAGTAGCGAGAGTATAGCAAATGGATTTAGACCGCGAGATTATAGATAATCCAAAAAAGCGGTCATTCTGTAGGTAGTCATGTCTTGATTACATTACGTAGATATAGAGGTATAGTTAGGTCGTGGTATAAACCAAAAACTCCAGTCTAACAAAGACAGCGCAGATGTACAGCAACATGTGTATATCCCATGTGCCGAGAAGCCATGTCTATACTTTATATTCTATCCCATGCGCTTTAAAACTTTCATATCCTTCTAACCTCACCCCTCGCGCAGGGGTCTGCTTAAAAATCAAGACCAAGCAATATCCTTAGAACTTGCCCTTAAGCAAGTTGGCGATCATCTCCCGACCGGTGATGACGGAGGTGCGCCAAAGGGTAGGGAAATCGAGCGTGCTGCTGAGGGTATCGGCATAGCCGAAGAAGAGCATGGGAGGGATCCAGCCGCGCGCATACTCGAGAGCGAAGCAGCTCTCGGGCATCTTGTACTGCTTGACGGTGCCGCGGACGAGGTGGTGGACGGAACCGGGAGGGTAGACCTCGGGCTCGTACTCGCCGGGAACGTAGGCAGTCTGAGTGCCGGTGAGGATGTGGAAGTAGTCGTCGGCGGTGTGGCGGCCTGTGTGGCCCTCAGTGCCGATGGCAGTGCCTGTTGTGTGAAGTGTGTTAGTGACGGGTCCAGTCCAAAGAAGAGGGAAGCACAAGCTTGTCACAAGCTTGGGAGAGGGTGCTTACCGAAGATGATCAGGTACTCGGTGACGGAGGCGTGGATGATGTACATGGCACCCATGGCACCACCAGCGTTGTTGAACACCCACTCCTCATCGTTGTTCACGTAAGGAGCAACGCCGTTGCGCTCGTTCAGCTCGTCGACGATGTACTTGACAATAGCCTTAGTATCGTTGCCGTGAGCGCTAATGGCGCGCTTGGACAGATCGTGAAGGTGCTCGGTATCGAAGACGTAGAAGGACTCGAGACGCTGCTCAAGGACGTAGGCGATGGGCGCAACCAGGGCGAACAAGATGGCGAAGAACTTAAGCCAGCCACCGATGCTGCAGCGGCAGTGGCAAGACGAGCGGGTGGAGGAGCCGGAGCCGGAGCCGGACGGCTTGTTGCCGCCGGAGGAGGTCTGCTTCTTGGAAGGCATTGTGACGGTTTGCGATTGACGAGACGGCACAATGTCAAGAACAGAGAAGGAGAAACAGGGGAAAGAGAAGATGGGAATCTTGAATTATAAAGAAACAAAACAATGGCCACAACAATTCCTCCTCCACCGACAGGGGGGTTCCGCCATCCCAACCTCAACAACCCACGGCAACCCCTGATTTCAGTTCCTTGTGGAGGACCCTTGCGGTTGCAACATGCCCGCCCAGGCGGGTGTCGCGACTTCCGACACGTCTGACTTTCCACAATTTTGAGAGCTTTGACCAATGAGATTGCTCAATTGCTTCGGATAGCGTTCAAACGATTTGTTAGGGGAGCCACTCTTTCATCCAATTGGGGAGAGACACACCGGCAGGCTGCTTTCAGAAGCTCCCCTCGGCGGCAGCTTGCCCGGCAGTGTTGTCGCAGCGCGCGACACTTGGACAGGTCTTGGCATCGACAAGGGTTTCCATTTTTTCGGTGCCCCTCCGTCATTGAATACCGTCCGCGGGCCCGATCAATCACATTTCGGTATCCAAACATCCATCAGAAGCTCCAGTTTGTTATCGCCGCGGGGTCCGTTCTGTCGCATCATTATCTCTAGTTTGTTTAGTTCCCCTTTGCGCGTCGCACCGCGTTTCATACAATTCCACACTCTACCCTTTCACAAACTTTCGTCATCGACATCGATTTGACTCGACCCTCTAGAACGACACAATGGCGACCACATCCTCCTCCCCTTCGATGGCCATCCCCGGCCAATTCCTCGGCCCTGTCTCCAAGTTCCAACCCGGTCCTGGAACCCACATCCACGAGTCGAACCTCTGCGCTTCGCTGCTCGGCGTCGTCAACATCACACAGCCCGCCAAGGCGCCCGGCCCTGCGAAGCGCTTGAACAAGATTATCAACACCCAGACTTCGCCCGCCGAGCTACCGACCATCTCAGTACTGCGCGCGGCGGGTTCGTCAGACAAGCGCGAGGTTCTGCCCGAAGTGGGCAACATTGTGCTATGCCGGGTGATTCGCATCATGCCGCGCCAAGCGGTCGTGGCCATCTTGATTTGTGGCGATACTGTTTTGGAGGCCGAGTGGCAGGGCCTGATTAGAGTGCAGGACGTGAGAGCGACAGAGAAGGATAGGGTGAAGATCTACGATAGCTTCAGGCCTGGGGATATTGTTAGAGCTGAGGTGGTGAGTGCTCTTCTCGTCTCCCTCTCACCAAACAAGGAGTGAACACTCTGCTGACATGCCGCCGTCTACTAGATTTCTCTTGGTGACCAAGCAAGCTACTACCTATCGACGGCGCGTAACGAGCTTGGTGTCATCATGGCGACAAGCGAAGCTGGCAACACCATGTACCCCGTCAACTGGAAGGAATACAAGGACCCTGAAACTGGGCTTAGCGAACCTAGAAAGGTTGCGAAGCCCTACTGAAGTCGGTGGATAGAGAGTTACGAGACCGAAAAAGGATGCTCAAAAAGCAAATGCATAGCGGATTTACTGGCTTGAGGTACAGCGTGTTATCAAGGTGATACGGGCGTCATCTTGCTCGGGAGCTCGCCGGGTAATGGAAGCAGGTGCCCTGTCAGCGCCCTGTCAGCGCCCTGCTAGGAGCTTGCAAATACGGCGGCAGGTCGACCGTCACAACATCACGGTTCTCCAGAGACCGTGCCACCAAAACGTCTGACCGCTTCACAAAACCTGCAAGCCTGGGGGCGCAGACCGGCGATAGATCCAAGCCAAGAGATATCTTGGCCCAAGAATTCTGGCGGATACGCCCGCTACGCCAAGTTTAGACTACGGAGAAAAGAGTCTGGGCGGCGGGGTTTGCGTTCGAAAAAGCATGGAGCGCGGTCCTGTCAAGATTCATCTTTGACACAGCGGAACAACAAAGTTATGATCCAGCGCCCGCTTTGGGGATCATGAAGACGATGGCGAGCTATGGTCTTGTCGCAGCAAGGGGAAGATATAGTGACATTAGGTCAACCTAAGGCTGTCGTTGCATTAAGAAGCTGGATACCCATTTTTGCATTTGTATACAAGATACCATTAACTCTTCTTCATATGTGTTCCATTGTCCCCATCTTTCTGTGCCGTCATCCGTCCCCTGGATCATATAGTAAGGAGTCCTGTTTCTTTAGGGCGGCTCAAGGGCGGCTCGGCGTCTCCCACGCTCCCCACATGGGCCTTGCATCGTGCATGCGGTACCTACATACCGCTGAAGATCATCGGAACGGCGGGAGACAGAGAATGGGAGGCGGTACGTCACCGAGACCCTGCATGCCTTAATACATTTCCAGCCATTTCTTGTCCTCCCTTTCACAGCTTACTCATTCCTCAAAAAAGGAGGAGAAGGAGAGAGATCTGGCGACGTGTTGGTCAGCTTCGCCAGCGCCTCCAGATACGCAAAAGCACAACACCAAATACCAAGACGGAAAACAAGAAGCCCCTGCCCCTGTTTCGAACGGGAACCAGGCCATCCCCACCGCGACGGCGTCTCCATCCAGTTTTCCCGTTCCTGACAGGAGTCCACTTGGTTCCCGAAAAGAAAAACATCGAGAAGACCGGACGAACCGTTTCAATCCGGTCATCACCATTTCCGTCCAATCCGACATCAGGCGCGGACTCTTCCGACGATACTTATCGTCCGTCCTATCGGGGCCCCGGTGAGCCATGTCGACCACCGCTACCATGACAATGACCGCCGCCCCCGTCGTCGTCGTCGAACCCGTCACCGGGACGTTGTCTACCACCCCTTGCTGCCCGCAATGCGGTACCGACCTTGAGGGGACCCAGCCCTTCGAGGAGATGCAAGCGGCCGTTCTCGACGCGCACAACAAGATCCAAGAACTCCAAAACCAAGTGCGCCTGCTCAACGAAAAGGCTTCATCCGCCGTCGATCGCTGGGCCGATTACGAAGACGAGATAGCCCGACTACGGGGGCAGCTCAAACAGCAACAACAACAACAATCCCAATCCCAAACCTCCCCAGCCGCCTCCCAAATATCATCACCACAACAACATCAACACGCCGCCGCCGCTGCCCTCGCCACCCCTCCTCAATCCGCAACCCCCTCCACAACCGCAACAGCCAACGCCTCACCCACCTCCGTCGCCGCCCGCAGCGTCGGCTCCGTCTCCTCCTTCCTGCCCACCGGCGCCGCCTCCCGCCTCTCCGCCTTTTTAACTTCGCGCAAATCAACACCAAACCTCAAATCAGGCACACCACCCGCTGGTTCTTCCCACCCGCACATGCCAACGCACCAATCCACCCTGTCCCAGTCATTCACGCAAAGCAGCCCGCTCCAACAACCCTTCCAATCTGTCCCTAGTTCTAGTGTCCAACACCAAAAGGAGATTTCGGACCTGCAAACAGCCCTGAACACGGAAAAGTCTCTGCACAGCGAAACACGTGCCAAGCTAGCCAAAGCTGAGGCGAAACTCACCGCTACGTCGCGGGAGATTGAAGAACTTTCCGTGACGCTGTTCTCGGAAGCCAACGAGATGGTTGCGAATGAGAGGAGGGCGAGAGCGAAGCTTGAAGAGAGGGTGAAGACGCTGGAGAAGAGGGATGAGCAGAAGAAGGAACGGCTGGAAATATTGGAGGGGGCGGTGAGGAGGATGGAAAGGGTTAGAGAGGTTTTGAGGGAGACGGAGAAGTTGGAGAGAGGCAGGAGGGGGAGGGAAGATGATGACGAGCGTCACGGTGGGAGTGAGGATGAGGATGATGAGGATGAGGATGAGTTTGGGGGGAAGCTGGTACCCGTGGTGACGCCAAGGGGGGATGGCCAACCCAGGCTGGATCTGGATGATTGAGGCGAGCGAAGGGGGTAATATTTAATTAATGGTAACCTCTCCGAAGTATATGGAGGGAAAGGGTAATTTTAATGTAATGTAATGTAATGATGGGGATGAATCGGGTATGTAGTCTAGACTAGCATCTGGCGGAAAAAGGAAAAACCAGAGGCGGGCAGACATCGTGACGGAATTGCATGGTCGGCGGACTCGGTCGGGCTGGTTCTTGGATATTCGATAGACGGGGTTGGGAAGGAGCATTCATAGTGGCGGCAGTATTGGATTATGGTCTTGGACGACTCAAAGCCATGGCCACCTGAATAGTATCGTTGGGGCTCCTGGACAACGGCCTCAGGTAATCAATCAATATTAATTGGGTATATTTCGCTTTTATTCTCTTTTCGCTTGCTGTGGGAAGGGTGGTTTCTTTTATGCCTTCGATTCAGGCTCCGTCTTGACCGTCTCCTCGTCCTTTACGGGAGCAGACTCTTCGGCTTTTACCTCACCTGCCGGCTGCTCCTCAGTCTTGACTTCTTCGGTCTTGACCTCCTCAGGCTTAATCTCCTCGGCCTTGACTTCCTTCGTCTTGACCTCCTCCGTCTTGACATCTTCTGTCTTGACATCTTCCGTCTTGACCGGCTCAGCCTTGACCTCCTCCTTCTTTACTACCGGCTCGACAGCCTGGGCCTTGGCCACCTTGTCCTTGTTGTTCCAGAGGTCCAAAGCCTTCTGGATCTTGGGTGCCCAGACTTCCTCGCCCAGGGCAAGGTCGGAGTACTCCATGCAGTTATCCGTGCCCAAAACGAACTTGCCCTGCCTAGACCTAACCAATTCAGCCATCATAGCGCCGCACCCAAGCTTCTCGCCCAAGTCATGGCACAGACTGCGAACGTAGAAGCCCGAAGTCACGGTCATGCGGATCTTGGCAGCCGGAGGACCCTTGCCCTCCCAGGGGAACGGTGTATCGGGCGACGGCGGAGGAGGAGCAAGATCCAGACCCCTGTTCTTAGCGTACTTGTCCTGCTTCTTGTCCTTACCCTTCTTATCTTTCAGAGCACCAGACATCATGGGCTCGGCAGCACCGGTCTCCGTCTTCCTCTTCTTGCCCGCGGGCTCCTCGGAAACCAGCTCGTCAACGCGCTCCTCAGCCGCGCGCTTGTTACTCTCATGGTCCGCCAACGCGTTGACCTCCTTCTCCACCATCTCCGGTATTAACGTCGCGGCCTCCTCTGTGCTGGTCGTGCCCTCCTGTTGGTTCTTGGCCACCTGCCACACCGACTTGACCACGTTCTTCTCGGCCTGCTCGGCCTCCTCCGTCGGCCACCGGTGGTTGTGCGTTCCCGGTTCATACCACTCCGTCATCTCGAGTTCCGTCACGTCGACCTCACGGGTCTCGATCTCGCGCGGGATCGGCTTGCCCTCGCGCGCATATTCGTATAGGGGCTTGCCGTTCATCTTGAGCGCCGAATAGAGCGGGGGCATCTGCTGGAACTTGCCGCGGAACGAGTTGAGCGCCTCCTCAACCTGCTCGCGCGTGATGTTGCTGTAGTCGCCCTTCTTGATGAGCTTTCCGACGCGGTCGTAGGTGTCGGTGCTGGCGCCGAAGACCACAACGGTCTCGTACGTCTTGGTGCAGCCCAGGGAAGTCGTGCAGACCGTCCGTTTGGGTCGCCCTTGCCGACGCCGAGGATCAG